TAGTAGTTAATAAACAGCTTCTGTTGCTAGTGTGCCATTGAATGCCTTGTTTTCACTAAGTTGGGTGATATTTTAAGATGTAAATATATATTGAATGTTAATCTATTTTTAAAAAGTAAAAATTGTCTTACAGAAAAAAAAATAAAAGGATGGAAAAAGATATGCAATGCTAACATTAATCAAAGAAAAGCAGGAGTGGCTATACTAATTTCAGATGAATAATTTATAGTACTTCATAGATATATTCAAAAGAAGAAAGGGCTCAAACCAATGGACTCAGCTTCCACATTAAGAAACAAGAAAAAGAGAGGAATTAAAACCTAAGTAGAAAAAGGAAACAATAGCAATCAAAGCAGAAATTATTGAAATATAATACAAAAATGTAATAGATAAATTTAATGAAACAAATAGCTTTTTTGAGAAGAAAAATTAAATTGATAAATCTCTAGCTAAACTTATTAGTTTAACAAGTTTAACCATGTCAGAAAGGAGAGAAGTGGGATCACTATAGATTCTGGAAGTATTAAAATGATAAAAAAATTTTAAATGTATGCCAATAAATTAAACAACTTAGCAAAAATACATAAATCCCTTGAAAGGCACTAACTGCCAAAGCTCACTGAAGGAGAAATCATTTGAAAAGCTCTGCGTCTATTAAAGAAACCGAATCTGTAGTTAAAAACCTTACAACAAAGAAAATGCCATACCCAGATGACTTCAGTGGTATATTGTATCAAATATTTAATGAAGAAATAGTACTAATTCTACACAAAATTTTCCAGAAAATTGACATAGAGGAATACTTCTCTGAAACTCAAGCCAGACAAAGCCATTATAAGAAAAGAAAATTCCATTTAAAAATATCCCTCATAAACATAGTTACAAAAATTCCAAGCCAAATTTTAACAGATCTAGTCCATTAATATATTAAAATGATAATGCCTCTTAATAATATGAGACTGTTTTAACCTTCTATAATTAATCAATGTAATTCATCATGTTAAAACCAAAAAAATAAATAAATAAAAATCATATTATCATCTCAATAAACATAAGAAAAAATATCATTATTATTTTTTTTTTTGAGACAGAGTCTGGCTCTGTTGCCTGTGCTAGAGTGCCGTGGTGGCGTCAGCCTAGCTCACAGCAACCTCAAACTCCTGGGCTCAAGCGATCCTCCTGCCTCGACCTCTCAAGTAGCTGGGACTACAGGCATACGCCACCATGCCCAGCTAATCTTTTTCATTTTTAGTTGTTTTGGCTAATTTATTTCTATTTTTTAGTAGAGACAGGGTCTCGCTTTTGTTCAGGCTGGTCTCGAACTCCTGATTTTGAGCGATCCTCCCACTTCGGCCTCCCAGAGTGCTAGGTAGGATTACAGGCGTGAGCCACCACGCCCAGCCAGGAAAAAATATTAACAAAGTCTACACTCATTCTTGGTAAAAATCCTCTCAGAATTCTAGGAATAAAAGGTAACATCCTCAAACTGTTAAATGGCATCTGTGAATAAGCCACAGTTTACACGATACTTAATGGTGCAACAATGAATGATTTCTTCCCAAGATCAAGTTCAAAATAAGAATTTTGTTCTTACTACTTTTATTTGCCACTGAATTGGAGGTTCTGGTCTATAAAATCAGGAAAGAAAAAGAAATAAAAAACATTTAGTTTGGACCGGGCGCGGTGGCTCACGCCTGTAATCCTAGCACTC